GAGCTAATGACACAAATAAATAAATAAAATGTTTTGAAGATCAACTTTTGTTACCACTCAAACGTGTGATGAATTCTATTTTGTTGGGATTTGCTATGCCAGAATCTTGGAAAGAGACCAATATTGCTTTATTACCAAAAGAAGGCAGGACTTAACTTTAATTAAAAATTACAGACCAATCTCACTGTTGAACAATGATTATAAAATATTTACATCAATACTGGTGGATAGATTAAGGAAGATTTTACAGGACTTTATTCATGATGACCAATGTGGTTTCTTACCTAAAAGACAGTTGAGAGATGTGAGAACTATAATGGATATAATAGAGTATTTACAACAACATAATGAGAAGCAAGCAGCATTGATCCTTCTGGATGCAGAGACTGATAATTCCAACTGGCCATTTATATTTAAAGTTTTGGAAAATATGGACTTTGGAGAGAATTTTATGCAAGGGATTAAGTCGATACATACATCGCAGAGGATACATATTATTGTCAACAGTGATTTAATCAAACCATGTGAGATACTGAAAGGGACAAGACAAGGGTGTCCTCTGTCCCCTTTGCTTTTTATTTTAGTTCTGGAAGTATTGAATAGAGATATTAGACAGGATGAGAATATAAAGGGTTTGAAAATTTAAAAGGAGGCTTATAAATTGAGGGCTTTTGCTGATTATTTAATCTGATTTTACAAGAGCCCCAGAATAGTATTAAACACTTAATGAAGAAATGGAAAGACTTTGGTGCACTAGCTGAATTTAAAATAAATAAACAAAAAACACAAGTGTTGGTTAAAAACTTGAGTCCACAAGACCAAGAAACTTTGATGAAAAAAAACTGGTTTTAAAATTGAGAAGAAGGTTAAATATTTGGGAGTTACACTGACTAATATAAATTGTATGTTGTTTCAGAATAACAATGTTAAGGTATGGAATGATATTAAAAAAGACCTATTGAGATGGGACAAATTACAACTGTTGCTACAGGGTAGAATTTCAGTAATTAAGATGAATGTTTTACCTAGGATGTTATTTTTATTTCAGACAATACTGATATTGACAATTGATGTACCATTTAAACAATGGCAAAAAGATATTTCTAAGTTCATATGGCAAGGTAAAAAATCAAGAATAAAATATAAATTGCTACAAGATGCTAAAGAAAGGGATGGGCTGGGACTCCTTGATTTAAAATTGTATTTTGATGCTTCAAAATGGCATGGATGAAAGACAGGGCGACTTTGAGAAACAGGAGGTTATTGGAGTTAGAAGGACATGACTTAAGATTTGGGTGGCGTGGCTATTTATGGTATGATAAAGGTTAATATTGATTTTAAAAATCATTTTATTAGGCATGCCATATTGAGAGTTTGGAATAGATATAAAGCAAGATTGTCTCCTAAAATTCCTCTATGGTTGTCACCGCAAGAAGCTTTTTATAGAAGAGAAATCACAGTTAAACAAACATAATTGACATATGCTGATTTACTGACTTTTCTTGAAGGAGAACCTAAATTGGTACTGAACACCGGAAAAATTGTCTAAGATGTATAAGGGAGTGTCAAAAGTATGTTGGAAATGTAATCAATGTGAAGGCACTTTTTATCATCTTTGGTAGACTTTTAAGAAGCCTAAGAAATACTGGGATTTGATATGTACTTTAATTCAGAGAACTTTAAAAATGGATGTACAATTGAAACCAGAGGTTTTTCTTTTAGGTATGGTGGATAAACAGATTGAAAGAAAACATGGGACTTTATTCTTTTATATGATAACAGCAATGAGACTTTAATATGTGCAGAAATGAAAGGACCCACAAATACCTACAAGTGAAGAATGGATGAAGTCGATGGAGTTGATGGAATTGGCAAAACCGAGTATTTTGATTAAAGAAAAGACTTTGTCTAGCTTTGTTTCTATTTGGAAACTGCTTCTGGACTTTTTGCTTGAAACTGAAAGAAATGAAACTTTAATTTTGGGATTTGATTATTAATTATGATCATAGAAATACTGTGTATTAATTTAAACTTTAGCGTAAGAAGTGACCTGTACCAAAGAAAGTCGGAAGTTACCTTTTTCTTCTCTTTTTTATTTTTACTTTTCTGCACCTTAAATTTCGTTCTTTTTCTGATCTTTCCTTTTTTCAATCCTTTTTTTCTGTTTTCTTTTTATCTTTTGCTGAAATTTAATAAAGTTCTTATAAAAAAATAACTTTGAACGATCACTGAATGAGTGGTCAAAACCTGAGGACTACCCATATGGGACACTGGGACTCTTCCAAGGGCAACACAGCAGTCCTAATTGTAAAGTGTCGGTCTTCCCTTGCAGACCAATGGGTGAGACATCTTCAGTAAACTCTATGTCTTTGCTTCCTGTTTAAATGTGTTGAAATCTTGGAATATCTCAAACAAGATAGGAATAGTCTCATGCAGCACAAAGCTTTCCAAACCCTTTCCTCTTTGTTAAGTGCATAGCAGAGGGTAAAAAAGCCATTTAGAGCATATTCTATACAATTAACACCACTTGTCCATTAAGTGTTATGTTGCCCACAGCAGTGTTTCTTAACATATGGTCCTAGGACCCCTGGGAGTCCCCCAAGACTCTCTCAGGGGTCCTCAAAATCAAAATTATTTGCCAGCCTAGGATGAAAAATAATACAATATTAACTCTCCCATCAAACAGTCATGACAAGTGGTAGCAGCAGAAACTGCATCGATTTTAATTTTTAGTACTGTAAATACTGATAAATATAACCCATACAAACAATAGTTCTTTCGGGGCCCTCCATAATTTTTAAAAGCAGGAAGGGGTCCTGAGATAAAAAAGTTTGAGAAACAGTGGTCTAGAGAATTACCTTCTCCTGGCTTTATACTCAAGACATGAGCTAATGACACGACTATGCACAAACCTCCAGATCTAGAAATGGCCACGACTGGCAAATAGCCTCCACCTGCTATTTCAGGGTATTCTTAACCCTAACCTTAATTCTTCAGAATAGCCCAGTAGCAGAACTTCTTTTCCAGACTTATCCAGTACAGAACAGGTGACTCGGAACAAAGCAGCTATCTATAAATAAATATAAGAGCAGAGAAGTAACTCACTTCACTACTCTTACTGATACGGTGTAGGCCAGGGGTCTAAATCCGGCCCGGCTGTTTTCGTGTGGCCCGAGAGCTAAGAATGGACAGATGGGGGGTAGGTCACCAGTCCTGAGCCACAGCCAAGCTCCCAGGATGGGGCAGGGCATCTTGGGTTGCGGTGGCCTTCCAGGGGCCTCCTTGCTGGTGGGCTGGAACTGTCAAATGGCTGCCATGCTCCTTGGCCTACAGATCTGTCAGCTGCCCCTGCAGAGGTAGAGGAGGAGCAGGTCTGCTGGAGCCTCCAACCTCACCTAGGACACCGCAGCTAAAATGTTTACTATCTGGTCCTTTACGGAAGAAGTTTGCCAACCCCTAGCATGGGCTAACTTTAAACAGTCATCTGTGTTCAGTCTCTTGGTTCTTCATTTCACACCAGCATCACTCTGGGCATCTCTTCTCCTACATCATCTCCCAAGCTCCATGGTAATCCAAGGGGACACCTTGAATTGGCAGACAGGGAGAGGACGCTTAACAGCAACCCTGTCGAGCATTGCTATTGACCACTTATCCCAGTGGTCAGCTTGTCCCTCCACAGAATGGCCTGGCAGAGCTTCAAGACACTCCTGAAGTGCCCTTTGGAAACTTACTGGATCCATTAGGCCCCTGGGAAAGGCCAACCCTCTTTCCCCCTTGCAGAGAGTGGTGTTGTTGGAAAACTCTGTGGAAATCAAAGAGTGATCTGAGCGTGACAAAGGCCTAATGGAAACACCCCCCATCACGTATTATGGTCTTGTCTGAGTCAAAGGCTAGAGAGGTTGGCCAGAAAGCCCAAAGAGCCAGCAGGCAATCAGGCCCCTGTGGCAGTTTCAGGAGTCAGTAGGACTTAGCAGATAAAATCTGATTCAGATGAAGGACCAGATTCTGGCGGGGTGCCTAGCCCAAGAACACATCAACAGCTACAAAGGGCTAAGCAAACGCTTGACGTACAAGGCAGCCTGTGGGAATCTCTGGTCCTCAACCCTGGAACTGCTGCAGACAACTCTTGTGTCTCTGTCTCTGACCCTCTCCGGCTAGCAGTTTTTGGACTTCACGTTACGAGGCAAGTTAGGAAATCTGTGAACTTTCCAGATCTTAAGCGCTCTCAGTGTAATTACTTACTCGACTACTTTCAAGACGTTTACAACACAATTAAGCCTTTCAAACTTGTAACTGCCTGGCTTTCGGTTCTGCACTGACTGGCACAGGACACCGTATCTCAACTGCTCCAAGATTAAAAAGAAAAACTGGTCTACGGTGGAGCCTCCTGTGTGGTTAAGGCCCATGATCACCTGGAACAAACCACGCTGTCATGGTAACCAAGAACTCATGAGTTGCCTCCCCTCACAGGGAAGATAAATCAAATTCCCCCAGCACCAAAAGCCTAGGGCATTCCAATCCCAACCCTCTTTAGCTCCTATGAACCATTTCAACAGATATGCGAGAAAAGGATCAAAGTATCCCAAATTCAGAAAAGTGCAATGCATGCATTCTGATACATTTAACCAGGATCAAATTGAAATGGACCCCATCTAAAAAATTAGGCATCCTCGATCTAAAGATATGCAGCTCAATCAGTGCCGGCAGCATCAGAGATGAGTGGAGCCACTGGGAGAACAGCAGACAGTGCAGCACCCAAGTGGACTTGGCGGCCGTTGCAAGCTGTTTGACTCTCTAGTCTGCAGCAGAGAAAGGCAGCCCTGCCAGGTGAAAGGAAATTCTCCACTCACGTGTTTCTGCATCGTAAGCATTCATAACTGAACTTGTATTTTATCTCATAGTTGTGGCACCGTGACACCACTGGGAGCTCTGGATGAATCATAGCAGACTTCTTGGCATACAAATTCCAGAATCGGCCATGCCCGTCTCGAACACCGTGGATCAACCATGTAGCTGCATGGCACAGTTCATGGATAAGAGTATCCCGAAGTCGATCTAAGCATGATATGAAATAACAGAAAAATTAAGAATTCTGGATCAGTGACACTTATTTCTGATGGCTAAGCGGGCACTCAAATGCCAGGCTCCTCCTGCTGAGGATAGGCATAGGGAGCTGAATGCCAGCCTGGGTACCCCACATTCTCTTGTCTGTATGCCATGAGCTTTGCTCCAAGTCTAAACATAAAATGCTGTTAACTGTAATGCTCCAATTAATACTTGACATTATGCCAAAGCTGAACATTTAGCCAAGAACAATGAAAAGCCGCCCATCCATACCATATAGCATATGCTATCTTATAATATAGCACCTTTATTCATGAATACACTAAGGCACAGAATATCACTGCAGTTTATATCCATGAAATGGTATTTTAACCAGGCAGGCCAATTTCCCCTAGGTTGGCCTGATTTCTTGCCACCGTTAATTTATACCAAAAATGATCAAGCCAGATTATGGTCCCAATAATGTAGAAGAGCTGGAGAGCTGGAAGTTGCCTGAAATTAGGAGGGCACGTGCCTGGCTGCTGCTGAAGAACCCCCAGAAACCCTAACGCCTATAAATATTGGCGGAAGGGATAATGTAGAAGAGTCAAACGGCTTAAACACTGCAATTGTCCAAACTGCATTAAAATAAGAATTGCAAATCTGCAACTCCTCCTCCCTGCCTCCCCCCACCATTCCTGGACTACGAGAAATCGGAGGGATGGTTTTCAATTTCACCCAGAGAAAACATAGCTGAAACTTCAAAAGGGAACCCTCCTCCTCAGAACACCCTGATTCCAAAACCAATCTAGTGCTGGAGACATGCTATTGCCCCACCAAACAAATTACTCACAGTAATTTAGAAATGGAAAAAGATCAAGGATGCACTGAAAGAAGAAAAGGCCGCCATAAAGAGGAATCTCAATTACCCTCACGTACACTGAATAAATATGCACAACTGCTTCCTGAGGAGCAAGCAGAAGATGCTGCAGACGCTATGGGCAGTATGTACGGCAGCCAGACTCCGGGAAGCAAGCAAACAAGGAGGGCTAATAGGAGACTGGTGGCACAGAGAAGAGCTGCACACGAGTTGTCCCTCTAAGCCAGCAGTGGGCACCGACCAGTCCCCAGAGAGCTTGAAAAGCGAACAAGAATAAAAGCCTTACTAGCTTAGTAAGCATGCACACACAAAACACAGGGAGAACAAAACAGGGCTAAAGATACAAAGAAACAGACCAGATCATCCATACAAAACATTTTTTTACAGGGCCCTAATTCACATCGAGCCCCACATTTCCGTAGAGGGCCGTTTCTCTCTGATTCTCCGCCCTTCTCCAGACTGGGCTGCGCTTCTTGCAACTCTCTGTGATAGAAAGCAAACAGGAAGGGGCCCCGCGGAAGTGGCCCCTTCCCCGCCACAAGCCCGTCTGCTCCAAACCGACGCTCAGACTCCGGCTTCCTGGGCTCTGCTGCGCTCTCTCCGTTGCCACTGTCTGTCCTCGCCGCCGAACCCTTTCGTGTCTGAACCCCTGGAAGCGTCTTCTCCCCTTTCGCCACAGAGCACTGGAAGAGAGTTCGCCTTCGCATCCATGTAACCTGTGTCCACAGCAGTTCTAGCCAGAGGAACAAGTGTGCTTACCCGCAGAATCGCAGACTTTTTCCGAGAGCATTATCTTGGCATAACGCCCTCTCCCTGGATCCTTCAGCTGGCCAGTGACACAGCACCCTGCTGTCTTCTGCATCTTCTTATTCCAGATAATCTCCATTTTCTCTGGCAGCTGAGAGAAAATGACAGAACACAAGAGACTTGCAAGGCTGCAACAGTCAGCTTCAGTTTTCCTACTTCTGAAAATCCCTCACTATGCTCGTCTTTTGCTTCAAAGCTCCATATTCTTTGATGCAGAAATACGGGTGAGAGGCAAGCAGCAGAGACCTACACCGGACTCCAAAGGCAAGTTCAAGGCAGAATTTTCAGCTGCTGCTTGGCACTGAGCTCCCATCGAGCCACCCACCGGGAGCAAGCAGTTCTGCCTGCCCTGCTGTCCGATTGACCGGCTTGGATGAGAGAGGCCAACTCTTCCCACTGCTCTCCTCTGGAAGGAAAAGCGAGATAATTTCTTCTAAGCCTGGCTGGTCTTGTGCAGGTGGCAGAAGCCAGGTGCCGCATCTGTCTTCTATGAAAGCCCAGCACCAGAACAAATGCTGCTTCCTCCTCAAGTTCTTGGCAGAGAACACCGGGTTTAGGGGAAGAAACAGTTGTGAAAGGGAAACAAAGGTTTCAGGAAGTTGAGTCAAGCAAGGTGGACCCCTTGCTAAGTCTAGCTACACCTATAAACCTAAATACACTACCTTTTCCTCAAAGATGGAACAGTTGTAAAAAGAATACAGCTTTTGGGCCAGCTCTTCTTTTTTTCTCCGGAAATGCTTTGCTAGTTGGGATTCTGGGTCTGACAACTCTTGCAAAAAGCACCCCTGGACATGGCACGGTCTCCTGGAAAGAGAGAAGCTAACCGAAAGCTGAAGGAATGGTCAGGCTGTTCAAGGCACCCACTTCTCTTCACTGGGGTGGCAGGAGACTGTCACACCTGCCTTAAAAGGAGAAAGCTTTTTTGTGAGCTTTCCACCCCATTAGTCCTAAAAAGCATGCTAAAAATGGCAACGTAAATAACGTACAGCTCCTGAAGAACTGGGCATGGTTGAGAAACTTTCAAGATCCACCCATTTTTGCCTAAGCAGGCACCCCAAAGAAGCCCCAGATCTCAAACAAATGATCATTAGCCTACTTCTAACCACAGTGCACACAGATACATGTTCTAGTTCCTTCATCATTAATCTCTCTCTCTCTCCATATCCCAAGCATTATATATTAGGACTGTTTTATATTGTTTAGGTCTGTTTTATATTGTATTTTAACTAATTTTATTTTTGCTGTAAACCACCCAGAGTCATTTCAACGAGATGGGAGGTGACAAATTTGATAAATAAATAAATAAAATACATTGCAACAGAAATACCAGGCCAAAACTCAGACATTAAAGGCACTGTACTGTTCATGTGTGTGCGCACGCACGTGCACCTTCAAATCAGTGTTGACTCCTAGCAATCGCCTGGACAAGTCCCTGCGGTTTTCTTGGCAAGATTTTGGAAATGGTTCGCTATTGCCGCCTTCTTAGGGCTGAGAGAGTGACTGGCCCAAGGTCACCCAGCTGGCTTTGCACCTAAGGCGGAAGTAGAACTCACAATCTCCTGGTTTCTAGCCTGGTCCCTTAACCACTACACCAAACTGCTCTACTTGCTTAATGTGTCAAGAAAGCTTAAGAAAATGTTAGGTAGTAAAAATGAAATATGGAGGTTTAGAAAGAAAAAGAAAAAGATGTCACGACAGCTTCCCTAAGCCTTGATCCCTAGGGTCCCTCATGACCGCCGTCTAGGAAGCTGCTCACAGATCCATATTGTCCCGATAGGGGCAGGAGCCAGCATATGCTGTTTTTCCACCATGATTCTCCCACTCTCTTTAGAAACGACACTCGTCCCCTCAGTGATGGCTTTCCAGACGGTAGCGAAGACTATTCGCTTAGGAGGACCTTTGGGGAATAACTGAATGCTATCTGGAACTCCATTTGTTTAATTGAGAAATTAGTATTGTATTTTATTTGTGGTAGTTTGTTTATTTTGATCTGTTGATAATGCAATGGTTCTATTTTGTTATTAGCCACTATGAATCACTTACAATTTCCCAGCATATAAGTTTGATAAACAAACAAACAAATATACCGGGAAGAATCCAGGTCCAAACAGGGCTACATAGCAGCAACACTAACCGACAGCTGTCCAACCTGCTGAAAGCTTTCAGCAAAGTCGCAAAGCCACTTTGCATGTTTTCTCCACCGGTGAGTAGCTCTCGTTGTGAGGAAGTTTCTCCTAGTGGATTGGTGAACAATTGGTCAGCCATTCTGACGCTCGAAGTAACAGTAAAGAAGGAGTCGAGACTCACCTCATTTGCATCCAGGGTGACTGAGTAATATCCGAGAGTGCCTGACTCTCAGAAGTCCCAGGAGACCACGGCGTACCAGGAGCAGGGATTCTGGGTGCTGACAGAAGGCTGCCCTCTCCCTTCACAGCTGTAGCGAGGCTTTCAAGAGAAGACCTGAAGTTCCTCTCCTCTGTAGGTCACAAACAGAATGCTCAGCAGAGAGCTGCAAATCAAACTGATCATGCTGGGCTGATCAGCCGCTCAGGACAACTCGGCTACAAGGCTGGCTTCATGATTAAATAGCCCCAGAAAGCGATCCCATTCCCAAGCCACAAGGAGAGCAAAAGCAGAGTATACAAGAAGCCTTGCCTACACACCACAACCAAAAGACCAGCCGCAACAGCCAGCATGAATCTACAGGCATTGTAACAAAGCTGGCTCTTTGTCATCATTTGCCAAATGCCCCAAGTGCATGAACAGCTAGGGACACAGGAGCTGACACAAAGAAGGGCTGGATTTATGACTCCCTCCCTCTGTGAATTGCTCTCCTTGAAATTCTGCAGAAACAGCTTTACTTTGGCCTGTTATTGGAAACAGAGAGACAACTGCCACAGACATCTTCCGTACCAACAATATTCCCACCACTAAGAACTTTTATTCCAATGTACCAATTACAGTCTCCCACACTCATACTCCCCCACACTCATACTCCTCTCCTTAACTCAAACATGTATTTTCTTGGGCCTGTGTGCTCCCATGTGAGTCCAGGAACAGGAACACAACCCTGAGAGGCATATCGCTTTTGATCCTGAAGATAAGTACATACATGAGCCACAATTCCTACATAAAGCACCAAGGTTCTTATGTTTGCAACCCAGCTGTTCGACATAGCGTACCCAAGCATAGTCACGGACCCTCCAAGTGGAGAGCAGCACCAGAATTAGCCCAGAAAAGGGGCCTCTCTTACCACAGGGGCTTTGCTGGTCTCCAGCCCACTTGTCTTCAGGAAAGAACATCCTTTGCTTCATGCGAACAATAAGACTATCCATCTCCTCATCTGAGCTGTCCAGCACTACGACCTCCCCTGAGCTCCGCTGCTGACTCTGGGCAATACCTTCCCCAGAGTTTTCCTTGCCCTCCAGGAGGGAAGAATCTGGCCTCTCCCAGGAAGCAGCACAGCCACTCTGAGAAGAGGCAAGAGGCAGGCAGCTCCAAGCCCTCTGGCGATGGCCTGCCTCTCTGAGCCGGGATGGATTCCCTGGGGGGCCTTGGACAAAGATGGAATCGGTGTCACTGTCGGCATCATCGCACATGAGTGGAGAGAAAACAGTCCCAGCAGAGCAAGCAGCCGCCCTTCCAGCAACACCAGGGGCCTTTGCCGTGTGGATAGGTCTTGGATCTGCAACGCAGTTAAACTTCTCAAAAACTGTCTTCTAAGCCAAATTGGGCACATTCATAAGGTAAAAGTAGCATTTCCCTGGAGTTCTGCTCAACTCTTAGTGTCTTCCTGGCCATGTCCATGTACTCATCTTGGCAGCAATGCAGAAATGGCTCCTCCCTTCTCCTAGGGTGCTTTCTCAACTTCCCAGTCTAGCCTACAACTTTGCATTTCCTGGTGGTATCTCATCCATGCATTATTATTCCTGATCAGTTTTATGACATCAGCCAAAGTTAGCTTGGCATCCTGGCCTAGCTGGGCATAGACTTTACACAAAATTAGTTAGCCCATGTTCATGAAGACTCATTTACTTCAAACTTATGGCAACGGCCAAAGACAAAGGAGGCTCTGCTGGCACCCCTTCCTCAGAAGCAATGCAATGCTGTACAACTCTCCCGCAGCTGCCTACCACACATTAACACGTGTCACAGAAGAGCCTGCAGCCCCTTGGAGCAGGTAATATCACCCGAGAGGGTGGGTGTCTGGCATAGTTCTCAGGGAATTCAACTGAAAGACTGTGGCCCCTTTAGCATGGCTGAAGGGGTGCCATCTCACATTAGTCATAATAATGGGATAGGCATGAAAAAGACCATTTCAAAATTATAATCTTCTTGAGTTGGCATTTCTGACTGATCCACAAAAGGAGCTTGTCTTGTACCAAATTGGGCCACTGACCCAGCACTGTCTCCCTTTAGGAATCTGGAGAGAGAAAAAGCAGATGAACTTTGTCAAGACCTGCTCCCAAAGTTTTTTGACTCACTTGCCTTTTGCTGCAGATCCATACTTGTCTTTGAGAGAGCTGAAAAAATTCTCCTTTGAACTGTTCAAATAGAGAGATGAGAAAAAATAAAATAAAAATAAGAATAAAACTCTGAAAGCAAATAAGGGTTTTTAAAAGCCCAACCACACCCACCCCTTCCATCCAATGTTCCTCAGGGTATTGGACTACACCTTCCATCCCTCAGGAATTTAGCAGACACTGCAGCCCCATACCTGTGGAAGGCACTTGTCTCTTTAAAACTGCTGATTGCCCAGGCGTTCGCACCCTTAGGCTAAACCCAGACACGTCCACCTACCCTTCCTTCTCCTAGCATCCCTCTGGCTGCCTCTTGGTGCTCATGAGAAGCCCATCTCTCCTCTTTCACAAGACCAAAAATAGAGTGTTCTCCCCTCCTCTGCTTTAAGAGATTAAAATCCTATCTGCTTGACTCTTCTTTACCATTGCTAAAAGTATTTAGCTCATATTGAGATTAAATTTACAAAGCAAGCAAGAAAGTCTCGCTTTAGCAAAAGTTTAAATATTAAATGTGGAATAAGCAGCCCATTTGACCACTACTGGCAACTCAGTAAAACCTCCCAACAACCCTCCATCCGGAGGCTCACCATGCAGGGTGATGGCCCAAAAGAAACACAAAGCACTTCATGGAAGACAGGGAAAGATATCCCATGCAACCCCTGGCAAAATCCTTTGTTTTGATCTCAACTGGAAAATCAGAATCAGCCCACTCAACAGAGTTCTTGAAATACAAGTGGCCTCGTTATGGTGGTAATAGACGTACTGCACTTTCTCCAATAGGCTGTTGCTCTTCATTGGTTCTATGGTTACGTACTGTCATTTCATTTTCTACTACCAACCTTGACTGATCTCAAAACGTTCAGAAGAATCAGACCTGGGTGGCCCTTGGGTGGGAGACTGCCAGGAAGCCTCAGCACATAAGACCATGGCCAACCACTCCTGTATTGTTCTCAGGAAAACTGCATGGATCCTTCCATAAGCCATCAGGAATGCAGCTCAGAGGAACTTTACTTTTTGCCTTTTACGACGGCCACATCTCTTGGGTACGTTTGAGAGAAATGTAGGAGATATAGAGAAGTAGCTCGAGGGTGAAGCAGGCAGTCTCCCATTCAAAGCACATCCTTCCTGTGAACTTCTCAAGCGGCTACGGGAAGCCGCTGCCCTCTGAGCTCTCTCTGTGCTGCAATGTGGAGGTGAACAACGCTGGCAAGGCCACCCTTGCGAAGATGTAACACACACAGAGCACTGAGGACAGGTGACAAGGCTAGAGGAGTACCAAACATTACATATCTGTCTAAAGATTCTTGCAAGCACTAAGTCCAGATCCATCGTGCTTGCAAGTATGTCTGCTCTCTCTTCCTCTAACTAACCCTTTTTTTCTTTTTGTTTAAAATGCAGCTCAGAGGGCATTTTGGAGGATGCAGAAGCTTTCCTATTACTTTATAACATTTTAAAGTGGTCCTGATCAAGGAATTCAGCTAATAGACCAAAACTCATGTCCTAAGCATGAAATCATCTACTAAGTGGCACCCTTGACATCTTGGTTTTTGGAACAAGGAACATAGTAAGATTGGAGACAGTGTTTCTGCCTTTCCTGAAATCTGGAAAATACTGATTTTTAGAGTGAGGTTATTTGAATCTTTACCTTTAACTGCTACTGCTGAAGCTTGTAGAAAAGAAAACTTCTTTGAGAGCTTACTAATTCAAAAGACAAGACCTGCGGCTAGAATCACAGAATGGCCCCTTCTTACATAGACTTCTTCCGGAGCAAATCCCACTGAATTCCCCATACAAGTCCACCTAGTTCTTGACCAGTAAGTCCCGAGATTAGATTAGATTAGATTAGATTAGATTAGATTAGATTAGATTAGATTAGAACCAGCTGAGTCACTGTTTCCTCTCACCACACTCCCACCTGGCCACTGCTGCAGAGGCAGGGCTATGGAGTTGGAGTCAGAAGCAATTCTGGGTTACTGGAGTCGGAGTCGGTAAAAATGTACCAACTCTGACTCCTAATAAATTTAAATTGTATATAATACAAATAATATATGTTAAAATTTCCTATTTCATAGATAATAATTTGATTAACCTATTCTTTTTGGGATATATTTTCATTTCAAGTTCTCTGCAAATTTCAAAATGTGTATTTTGATAAAAATATAACCTCAAATTGTTTTTATTTTTTAGCTTTTATCCTTTGTTTAAACTATAAGGTTACTGAATGTTTGTAATTTCTTTTTAGCTTTTATCCTTTGTTTAAACTATAAGGTTACTGAATGTTTGTAATTTCTTTTTAGCTTTTATCCTTTGTTTAAACTATAAGGTTACTGAATGTTTGTAATTTCTTTAATAAATAAAACTAAAAAACCAGAATGTGTTCCCTATAGCCTTTAGACCCAAGCTTTAATAGGTTAGGGTTCTGAAAAGCTGCCTGCTGATTCACACTGGCAGTGATGAAATGCCTTGTATGTTGCGTGCTTGCAGCCGATGCAGGAAATGTATAATTAGTATATTTATATTTATATATATATATATATCAGGATGCCCTTCAAACAGTCGCTCATGCCT